AGATATGAAGTATTATATATAAATTACGTGTTATGTGTGTATACTGTCTGAATACTTGCTGTCTATGCTGGATGCAATGTTTTATACATGTTTTAAATGATCTAAACTGTATATGTATTTTATATCTACAAAATGTGTTGGGTCAAACATGGGTAGATTAGAGGTGAGATAAATGATGAGCGATGAAAGATGAGATAAATGATGAGCGATGAAAGATGAGATGAATGATGAGCGATGATATATGAGTGATAAAATATGGTGCGAAGCGATGAGCCAAAGCAATGAGCCAAAACGATGAGCCAAAGCGATGAGCCAAAATGATGAGCCAAAACAATGAGCCAAACGATGACCCAAGCAATGGCCCCGTCGTCTAGCAGAGTATGGATGACAACCACGGACTATTATAGACAGTCTAGTGGAACACTAGCAGGCTCGCAACCTGTAGCTGTTGTGAACGATGTGTTCACCCGGTGTACTCTAAAAACTCATTGACATGTATTACGAGTGGACTCTCGAAAATGATATTGTCAATAAACGAGATAAACCCTGACGACTATGCAGACTTAGTGTCGATTCCTTAGGATACTCCTTAGGAATGAATGAACGAGGAATAGCTGAATCTTAGGGTAGATCCTTAAGAGTAAAGAAGATAATGGGGATGGGTAATTGGGTTGATTGTTTGATGTTTAACATAATAATTATATTATTGTGGGTTGAAAACCCTATGTACTCACCAAGTTTCCCAACCTGACCCACTCAAGCTTATTTGTATCACAGGTGTCGATATTAAGCTACTTTACACTGAGGGATTTAACAGAGATGTAGATCACTAGTGTAAATGAATGTAAGATCTGTTTATGCTTATGTTTCTGTATTGACGATGACATCCCAAATGTTTTAAAATGGTTAAAAATACATTTCTTCGGAAATTCTTTGATAACGTATTTATCATGTTTTTCTAGGAACAAATTCCGCAACATTTTTATTAAAAAAGGTACTCTGATTTTTATAAAGCATAAACAAAATCGGTCTTTTCTGGCCATGAAAATGGGGATGTCACATAAGTTGGGTGAAATTCTCCAAGGTTCTTGTCCATGGGAAGTTCTTGATTTCTTGGGGAGAATTATCCAATAACTTTCTTGCCTTTTCTGTTACAAGGTCAACAATTGGCTTTCCATGGTCGTTTGGTTGTGATGCATTCATGTTTATTGCAGACATGACTTTTGAACAAGATTTTGCAGATGATAAGCCATTTGGTTTACAAGTTAAGGAATTAGATTGATTTGACCAACCCTGTGTCAGTATAAGAGATTTGTTAGTCCAAATAGATGTATACAAGTGAAAAATCAATCCAGTAGTGTTTGATTTACAGATTGGGAACCAATAATCTATATTCTGTTTTATTTTTGGCATGGATTTAGAGAGAAGATAGTGGTGATTTGGGTTGCAGTAATCAGAAAACTCAGAAACTAGTATCTGACCAATTATACCAATAATTATGGTTCTCTAGCTTAAAATTGGGTTAAAACAGGAAGGTAATTGGTAATAAACTAATAGTAGTGTTATCAAATTGGAAAAAGTAAATATTTTGTACAGATATCGACTTCAAAGCATAAACATTGGAAAACTATACAATATAATAACAATTGCCATACCATGCAATAATTGGAGAACCAATCATCGGTACTTCCATTTACTCATTTACTGACTGCAAACATGAAAATATTTATATCCCTTTCAAATGTATGGTTCATCCTATGATTTTGATTGAATATAGTATCACATACATTTAATATGTACAAAATCAGCAGAGCGCATATTTCATCCAAATCGAACAGTTACTGTTAATAATAGGTTATGTCGTAAAAAACACACAAAAGCATATACAATAAACCTATATGATTGATCTGCTTGTGATATCACACAATTATAACATCCTTTTACCTTGTAAATAACTTTGCTAAACTAGAGTGATGAGCAACAGAGAAATTGCAGGCGAGAAGGAGCTTACTGGAGACGATGTAGACAAGATGAACGGTGCGTCGACATGACAAATGTGGAGGAGCGCCCAGATCACTGTTGATCTGACCATTATCTAGAGCACCACCATTGTTCCATTGGATCCGAGCTTTTCAATGTCAATATAAGTACAAAACAGATCTTCCTCAGATCCTAGTTCGTCCAAGCTTTCAAACGGTGAGTCGTAAGGGCCTGACGCCAGACCTAGATCGTCTGGTAGCCTGAAGTTCATCTCGCAGTGTGCTCGTCGATGATGAGACGACCTAAATTGAAAACTCATCGCATTTTATGGCTTAGGATTCAGATTCAAAGGATCCTAGATTTCAAATAGTCGCGTATAGTCTTCACCTCACCCGATTCAATGAACAGGGGAGACAATTGACGGAGGAAACCATAGATTTCAAACGATGGTTCTATATTGGGGAATGATCGACAATGAAGTTGTGAGAGAAATAGGGATGCTGAAACAAAGACGATCTAGGGATTTGAGAGAGGCATCGACTGATTTGGGGGAAATAATCTTTTCAGTACCATAAATGCCCTTCGATTAATTTCAAAACCATACCCCCGTGTTTAATTTTCTCATTTATTTACAAAACTGCCATAAAATATCTTAGCCCTTAATTTTTTTAATCTGACGGTCCACTTTTAGTTCTCGGGTTGTCAGGAAACTATAAGTTCTCAAATTATTTTTCCTCTATATACATGGCAACGAATGATGCACAAATTAATTGTACTTTTTAATATATATATATATATACTAGCCGTCACCCGCGCATTGCGGCGGACGACGAATAGTTTCTTTTAACGAATATTTCTCTTTTGGCGATTAGATTCCTTTTTGCAGTGGCAACCGGTTTCTTTTCCACAGTGTCGATTGCTTTCCTTTTGTTGAGTAATTTTATTTTTATGAACAAATTTCTTTTGGAAACTTGTAATTTTCAAAATAACACGTAATGCATTCAGAGTAAACCGGAAGAAAGATTGAATTATGTTTAAACCGAGTTTCAAAGTAACTTATACTATTTCCGTTATGTATTATAAGCATTAACATAATATATATACCAAAAAAATCAATAATTAATAGAAAATAACATAAATTGTTTAACAAATTTATAATCAATTAAATATTTGATAATAAAATAGTAAACCTTCATTTCCCATTTTTTAATAAACTACTGGTAATATGCAACTTTTCATCTTTCTTAGTTTCTAATATTAATTTCACTTGCAAAATATTTTTATTATCTACATCATATAGTCAACAAAAATTATATTTCCACCCTCACCATTATAGATGATAATTAGAGAATGAATGGTATATGTGTATTCAATGAAGAAAAGAAACTATCTGGGTGCGAAACATATTTATTTTATAGATTAATAAAATGTCAGTAAAATAACAATCATAAAAAATGACTTTAAAATAGAATGCTACTTAAATTCTAGATTTTTTTTAAACTCTAAAAATATGAGTAACAATTATTCATATATCCTTTACTTAAGACTAACAATCATTCATATGATGCATTACCCATAATGTGAACGTCAAAGGTTTAATTACGTATTACGAAAATGTTTATCATATAATATCAAACTAATTTATTGGAAACAATTTTTTTGCATCCAAAGCAATTAGAAAATTATAATCATATTCACTTCATCTAAATATTAAGAATCATCGTAACATAGTTTATTACATACAACAACTATACTCACATCCTGCAACTAATATTCCACGTGTTTTTGCTTCTAATATTCTTGTTGTAGCATGAAGTCATCAAATAATATCATTGCATGTTCTCTGTATTTCCAGTGAAGATGCATGTTTTCAACAGTTTCCATAAAAAACCCCAAGTCAACAGATAAATTGCATTATCATTAGCGACGGGTGGAAAATGGAACGGAATTGTTCATTCCATTCGAATGAAAAAACGATGGAATGCTTCCCAGACATCAAATTATAGTTTAAATGATTTAGGATAAAGAGGTATAACTTTACCTCTAAAGTGTGTGGGTCTCCACCAAAAGAAAACGGTACATTTTATTCATCCATCAAGTTGGGGGCGACCAACCTCACCCCAATCTTCACCATGTTAGACAAAAAAAGCGACAACCAAGAATTTTTTGAAACATATTTATAACTAGAAAGGTTACCCCCGCTACGCGGGGGCCAGAAGCTTTCAATGTTGTTTCCGAATTGATAAATATGACAGACATAGAAAATGCAAGGATGAAAAGTCCGGGCTTTGCCCCGGACAAAAAATGTAAAAGTTTTTACTGCAAGGACCAGAAGTGTGAAAATGGCTAAAGAATTAAAGGGGTAGGAATTAACAACTTTTTAGAAAATGGATCAAAGTTGTCAAACCGTTAAAGTTTTGTGGCCAAACTTTAAATATTAAAAGGTTCCAAAAAAGTGTAAAAATATTGATTGCAAGGACCAAAAGTGTCAAAATGGGTAAAGAATAATGACCAAAGTTGCCAAAAAACATCCAAATTTAGTATTCCTAACTTCCAACAATAATACAGGGACCAATTCTGCCAAAAAAATGGGAAGTTGAATGGAACACAAACAAAAGGACATGAATAAATTAATTAAAGAAGTACAGGGACCGGATATGTAAATCAAGGGACCAAACTTGGACAAAGTATCCCAAGTTTACTATTCCTTTCTTCCACAACTTTAATATATATATATAATAATTTGATAAGTAAAACATAGCACACATAGGAAAAGATTAGAGAGCCCCGGTGCAGACATAATAAAACCCAAAATTCACAAGAATTAAAAAGGTTAAAATGGTATTCAAGTTCATAAACATACACTGAAAATATATACAAAACCAAGTTTTCATCATATTAGCAAGCTATTTTTATGACAAACTGAAAAGAAAAAAAATCCACGAACCTGAACTGATCCATGGTTGGCTTTTCTGGAGTCTAGAATTTTGAAGAGCAACCATCACAATTACTCCTAGAGGCTAAAGTCCAATAGAATCAATCTGGTAATTTTGATGTCTTTTTCCACCGGTTACAACACTCTTTATATGCTGCACAAAAATGTTATCATTGAGTAAATATATGTGCAATATCAAATGACCAAAAATACAAATAAAAACAATTTTCTTACCTCTGAAGGGTAAGGTGGTTCAAGACAGATCTGACCACAATCATACTCTATACCATGACCATCTTCAATAACACTGAAGAAATTAAAATATTAATACATACTCAGTTACTCAGATAATATGATCTTTAAGGTAGAAATCCTTCATGTATTTAGGTTTCCACTTTCCAGGTCGACTTGAAGTTTTTTTGAAGAAAATATATTCATTCAAAAGTAATATACCTACAATTGAATCTGGATAAGAAATCCATCAACGAACATAAAATCGGACCTGCATCCATTAATCATCAAAATCAAAATATAAATCATATCCTTGTTAGTTGTTAATCGACGTAAATGTCACCAAAAGAAGTATAAAAAATCCAACCTGTAAATGGTGGTGGGATAGAAAGCAGCAAATAAAACCCTGACAAAAATGATTTTATCTTCAAAAATACCCAAAAAGATAGCTATGTATTCCTATGTGGATGCATTAAAAAAACTAACTACCAAAAATCCAAAATAAAGCTTTCTCACGTGCTTCTTATAATCTAGTTACCGACATCACCAAGGTATCCCATGGACTTTGCAGGAACATGTTTGATTGTGATAAGGCTAGGTTTCCTGAGATTTTGAGTAACACTCATACAAAACTTGAGTTGAGAAAGCATAGTATAAGAGAATAAAGAGGTTCAAGATTTTTGCCTGAAAATCATAAATAAGGTGCTCCGTGGCGAATCGATGCAGGTGGTGTAGGGATCTAGATCCGGATCCATGAAATCGACATGGTGAAGAGAGAAGAAATGGCGTTTAGAAAATGAAGCATCAGATTTGTTCATGTTTGTGTACCTCTTCATCCCAAATAGAACTTTCATCACTTTTAAAGAACCATCGTCTACAGAAAGAAAAAAGAGATGAATATAAAGAATTGGATCAACATTTTTGAGAAGATGATAGAAAAGGAAAATATTAGCGATCCTAAAACCAAACCATCAAAAACGTAGAATCCCTTTAAATCTTTTCTTAAATCTCGGCTTCAGTTAACACAGTAGTTCAAAGACCAGGTCAAGATAAGGTAGGATAAAAAGGAAAGATAGAGTCGGGTCAATGTATTGTATTATATACTTGTATTTAATGTATTGTTTGTTGTACAATTTAATTAAAACGTGGTTAAGTTTAAATTTTAAAAATATTTTATTGATGATCGTTTGTACTTTCAGCTTAAAGGTTTGGACATCTTAAATCTATTTTTAGAAATAGTAAGGTTTGTATAATATATATATATATATATATATATATATATATATATATAATATATATATATATATATATATATATAGGGAAATGATCAAATGAGAACACCTAAAAGGTTGAGAACGCAAGAACAATTTTGGACCAATAAATATATAAGGGCATACTAGTAACTGTATATTTTAATTAAATTAAAATAAAATCAAATTCAATCAAATTCCCTTAAATTTAGGATCAGTTACCAAAAAGAAATAAATATTCAATTTTTTATTTTTCTTATTAATGGAATATAAAAAAACATTTTTACCAAAATTTATTTTAAAACTGAAAAAAAATCTTAAAAAAATCAATATTTTTTCTCCTATTTCACGTTTTTTTTTGTGTTCAAAAGAACGAATAGAAATCGAACACCAAATTAGTACATTTGTATTCATAAATGATTTTTTTTTTCAAAAAAACCTGATACTACTCCAATCACAAATAAATACACATCAATTTACAAGTAATCCAATTTCTTTTTTTAATCAATTGAAAATAAAAAGAGTGTAAAAATTATCATTTCTTCATAAAAAGAATACCTCTAATCATAAATAAATATACTCATTAACACATGCTTACACTGTTATTCACAAATGAATACACTGCTATTAACAAATAAGTACCCTGTTATTCAGAATTGAATAAATGAATACCTCTAATAATAAATAAATACATTCATTCACTGTTATTCACAAATGAATACACTGCTATTCACACATGAATGCACAACTATTTCATTCATTGTTATTCACAAATGAATGCACTGCTATTCTAGATAAATACAATTTTTCATTCTTCCATTTCCTCTCACACTCCCTTCTTTTTCTCCTGTCTTCGAGGTGCAACAAAAACACCCCCACCAGAGGTGTTTGCTGGTGGTTTCCGGCGAGCCAAGGGCAGCAACCCCCTCCATTTTCTCCCACTGTTTTACGACACACCAAGCTACCCAAACATCCTCTGTTGTCGTTTTCTTTCTACCTTCCTCCCCCTCTCACGACAGTAACTGGAACAAGAAAACGAAGTGGTGAAGAGGTTGCTAGAATAGCCCCTGCCACTCCACTACTGCGATGAACCACCAAATCGGTGGAGGTGCTCCCTATTCTTCTTTCTTCGCTCCTGAAACAATTTCATACTTCATCATTTCATGTTCTTGATAGAAAACCCCAAAATCGGAAAAACACAAAATTGAAAGTGAAAGAGATGTAATTAAAGTGAAAGAGATGGATTTGCCCCTTCACCTAAGTAAACAGTTGGTGTGTAAATGATAAACATGAGTCTTCCACTTCACCTAGAAATCGAAATGCAGGTGTGGTTTACGATGAGGAACCCCTGTTGATTTGTGTCAGTGTGTGTATATATTATGCAAAACACTAGACCATCATCACCATTGATTGTTTTTTGATCAATCCATCGTCTTCACCATCACATACCAAATTAGAAAAAAAATCACAATAATCGGTTTAGTTTTTAGAATCAGAAATCAAACTTCAGTCTTCAAATTTTAGAAATCGGAGCTTGAACACTTCATAATCATAAATCCACTAAGCAAAAAGTAGGGAACCAAATACTAGTATTCAAAATCAAAAATCGAATTAGAAAATAGCCAATAAGGTTGATTACCTGATAGATCTTAAACTGTACTCGTTTTGCCAATAATTGAATTCCACGTCTTGGTCTTAAAAAAGAAGAATGAAGAACATAAGTGTTTCTTTTTTGTTTTTGCAACTGTGTAATTGGGTATATTCATAACCCTAAAATCCGGAAGAAGGGCGATATAAGGTGGACGTTTGGTTCGTCCATGGACTATGACGGTGATGTTTTAGCGTTGAAGCCTCTGAGGGGTTTTGTGATGGCGAGGTTCGATGATGATGATAATAGTAGCATGGTGGCGTAGGGATGAGGCGGTGATATGATGAAGATGTCGATTATATGCTTTATGAGATTAGGTCAACGAAATAGAAAGGCAAAGAGTAATTATAGGGGTTTACAAAATTAGGGTAATGCTTATTTACCTTAATGGCCTTTATAATTTTCTTTAAATTAAAATTTTAAAATTTAAATGTATTAATAATTAGAAAAATAACAATTAATTATAGCCACACATCTTAAAATTTAGATAGTTCAGATCTGTTCTCGCGTTCTCAACCTTTTAGGTGTTCTCATTTGATCTGCTCATATATATATATATATATATATATATATATATATATATATATATATATATATATATATATATATATATATATATATATATAAAAAAGACATATTGGTTACCAATAATAATTAAATAAATCTTTAAGACATCATGGGGTACGGCCGTCCCACGCTAAAGTTTTCGTCCAATTATTTTGCCGCCAAAGTTGTTCCCACTTCACTCCTCACCCCACTAACGGCCGCCAATGTGAAAGAACCTAAATTATCCCATTACCTATTTTGTCTTCAAAAAAGATAAATTTAATATAATGATGTTAAAAGAATTCTCATATTCTCTTTTGACATTTAAGAATAACCTTTAAAACAACCAAATATATTATATCTAACATAAGCATTGCACATATTATTACAACTAAAGAAGATTTTCCGCGTTGCAGGTTGTCAGTAACACAGAAGGGATAGTGGGCTGGGAATTGCCATGGAGATTACAATCAAATACCTGTGACTTTAAGTTTTTGCAGATACATTAATTTGGTTTAAAAAGGGGCAAAAATGGAAATTTGTAGAATTTTAAGGTTGATAAAAGATCCAAACACCAAACAAACCCATTCTATTTTGATAAAATATTCAAAAAAACAAAAACTCCAATCATGAATATTATTAAAATGGTAAAAAGACAAATATACCCACCCAGAAAATGGTAACAACACATGAATACAAAACTCTCCTCCATTTCCACATACTGTACACATGTCATAATTGTTGTTGGTTGTGATACACATGACAATACTAACTATGGATCATAAGCTCACTATATAAGAATGAATGATTTACCAAATCAATCCCCATTTATTTAATTAGTCTCTTTTGATCACAAAATTAATTCCAAACTAATTCTTGATCAATACTAATTAAATAATAATATGATTTCATATTAATATATTAGAACTTATAATATATTAATAAATCATAAATATCCTCTTCTCACAAAAGTCTATCCAAATGTTCCGATGCCATGCAACCCAAATGGACCATGTCAAATCGGGTCAAGTACATACTAAATATAGTTATGGACTTAGACACCTTATCCAACAAGTCTAGCCTCATAACCTACTTCCAAAGTATGATCGACTGTGGATAGTTTGAATAATCTTATTATTCTGGAAGTCAAAACATGCAAAAGTGAAACAGTATTAAATAATTGACATAAGATAGTAACTTTACTTATAAATAAAACTCTTTTTATTCAATCATCAAATGTCAATTACAATTTAGCTATTACAAGTTTCTAAATATTATCTAATCACTAAAACTAATATTGTCCGTTAGCCCAATGCCCCTTGCATGCTGCAAGTGTTTAACCCTACCCGGTCCCTTCGTGTGGGGATCGGCTGGGTTGTCCTCTGACGATATCCTCTTCACCACGAGGTGTCCTTCTTCTGCTTGATGTCTTATGAAATGATACTTTTTGTCGATATGTCTGGATCTACCATGATCTCTCGGTTCCTTGGTTAAGGCAACCGCCCCTTCATTATCGCAGAAAATCTCCACAAACTCCTTTATGGAAGGTACAACTCCAAGGTCTCCGATAAAGTTTTTCAACCATATCGCCTCTTTTGATGCTTCGCTCGCTGCTATGTACTCTGATTCACATGTTGAATCAGCTACAGTCTCCTGCTTGGAACTCTTCCATGTTACTGCTCCTCCATTTAGGGTAAACACCCAGCCCGACTGAGAGCGCAAATTATCTATGCCGGTCTGAAAACCGGCGTCATAATACCCTGTCACTCTCAAGTCCTGACTCCCACCGAGGGTAAGAACCCAGTCCTTAGTCCTCCGCAGGTACTTAAGAATGTTCTTTACTGCAGTCCAGTGAGCTTTATGAGAATTCCCTTGATATCTGCTGACCATGCTCAAAGCAAAGGCCACATCAGGGCGAGTACAAGTCATAGCATACATGATCGAACCAATTGCGGAAGCATATGGTACTCGACTCATCTCTGCTATTTCAGCCTCTGTAATCGGACTCTAAGTCTTACTCAGTTTGGCATTTCTTTGGATAGGTAAGTCACCTTTCTTGGAGTTCTCCATGCTGAAACGCTTCAATACCCTGCCCAAGTAGGTACTTTGACTAAGTCCTATTAGTCTTTGACTCCTGTTTCTCAATATCTGTATCCCTAGAATATAGGCAGCTTCTCCAAGGTCCTTCATAGAGAAACACTTCCCA